TACAGGGTGTACTTTGAGGGTTTCTGACTCTGCAGACCATTTACATGCAGAAAAAGCTACATAACAACAAGGGGACGGGTAATAACCGGGAAAGCATGACATGGGACCTTTAAGTGGAGGACGCTCCTTAGAGACAATGATCTGGCCATCAACTGTAGTTCAAATTATATTTGCTCTGAAACTCCAGATGACATAAAAACCTGGCAACTGCAAACAGGGTTGTCATACTCGGTGGAAAGGCAGTCTTAACTATAAACTCAGATCTATAAGACCCCAGTTCAACATGAACGAAAACACCCCAACTTTAAACAATGTCTGTTTAACTATTTTTTCCTTGGTACACCGCCATTCCTCTCCGGTGCGTAACGTAGCCACTTCTGCACTCCAACCCTGAATGTCAATTCCGTCAGCCTGCGGTCAAATTGACGAGCAGCAGCTGAAAAAAAAGAAGTTACATTTTTTGTTTATTGAAATAATAAGAAGAAGAAAGCTGCAATGGATGCGTTCCAGTGTGTACTGTTTAGTGTACTAGGTTTTCAGGCGGCCTTAATTGAGCAATTCACCCATCAACCACATCTTCATATAATTGATTCACACTATTACTCATTTCTGTCTACTCGCTCTGTGTCTCAGAGGACGGTAGTGGACAGTTCAGAAACGTGCCCATCAGTGACATCATCAATGGTCATTTCCAATTAGCTAGGAATAATGTCACTGGTAGGCAGGTTTCTGAAATGTCCACAGCCCACCTTTGAGATGCAGAGCGAGTAGACAGAAATGCTGCCATCCTATTATGAGCATTAATGAGGACCACTTATATGAAGATAAGGATAAGAATGGATGCATTTTGCATCCATTCTTATCAACTTGAGAAAGAAATGTAAAAGACTTATGAATTAAATTCAATATTTGCCAAATCTGTTGTAAAGTAGTAAACCTAGTATTTTGAGGTGCAGGCTCACCAAACATGCAGTCCTTTATCAGCGTGTCCTTGAAGGCCCTCTTCTCTCCCTTTCCCACCCAGTTGAAGATGCAGGCTAGACTGTTTGTCATGGCAGCGGATAGCATTCGCCGGATCATATTTTCCGAGTTGGTCCCTCCGACTAATGCCAGGCGGGTAATCTTAACAGACGAGAGAAAATGATTAGTGTGCTACAGTGTACTATGTAAATAGACATCTTCTCATTTATAAATAAATACAAATGTAATGAATTTGAACACATTTGTATTACCTCTAAGGAAGAAATAAGACCACTACTGTGTCCAAACTAATCGACAAACAATGCCAACAACCAAATTGGCAATCCTAAGAAATTGTCAAATATTGATTAAGAAAAATATTATCGTGATTCGCGAGGCGTATTTTTACAATATTTCTGTCAAACACACATCCAAGTGAAAAATAAATGTAATGCATCCACTCCTACAATTCCAGACATAAGCCCTTAAGATTTCAAACAAGAAATGTAAGACTTTTAAAACTTATAAGGATCCACAGGATACCTGCAAATGCATACAGAAAATATTAGAAGCCTCGACAGATTATAGAGAAAATGCTTTGTGTAAAAATTATTCACCATCTTTCGACGGACTGCTTCCTCCCTCAAAGCAGCTTCAGTCTCATCAAACTTCTCCTCGTTGGTGAGTGGAAGCATTATGGGGAAGTTGTCTTCTTGTGACTCTGGTCCAGCTCCATGAATGTTTAGTTTAGCAAGTTCCGTCTTTATAAAGTTAATGTCACGTGAGATCTGCTTCACCTCCATACATAGCTCGGTAAGCATCTTCGTGGTTCTCATGGCAGCAATGTCTTGAAAATTAAAAAAATAAAGGTTTTAATTTACATTTCAAGGATAGATTTTTAATTTCCAATAATTTAGAATGACACTAAGTAACTCACTGATAAGTGTTTGCCAACAGTAACCATTAAAGCTGCACTATGTAACTTTCCTATTTACCCTGGATTTGAACACAGGTCTCCAGCACAACTGCTGAAATATGTACCACTGAGTTTATAGAGCCTGCCTGCTTGCTCGGGGGAGAAATTGACCATAAAGTCATAATTTTTGTCAAACCAAGGTCATGTCTCACCTAGATAAAGGATCTAAATGTCTCAATAGAAGAGCAGGGAGACCAAAATCAACCACCCCAATTTTAAGTTATATTGTATTAACACTACCATACAGATTGGACAAAATAACATTGTAATCACAAAAAGGTTACATAGTGCAGGTTTCAGTGCTTACATTTTAAGCCTTAACACCATGACAAAAAACATGAAAAGATGGGAAAGTCACAAGGGATAGGTTTCTCAATTCAGAAGGCATCAGTACGGTTAAGAACCTGCTCAGAAAATGATACTTGCCTTTCAACACTCTGCTTGATTCCTCTCCATATAATCTCCCCCGTGGTGTTTCTGGAGCTGAAGGGGGTGGGATGGGTGCTGCGGGGTCAGGTGAGCCAAGCCCAGTGCGCTGAAGTCAGCTAATCTTGAGCCATGTGCATAGCTGGCACCGCCGTCTAAAAGACAAGACACCATTATTAATTGTTTATAAGTAAGCCATGAGAACCATTGGCCCATAGGAGCCGATATCCTGTTTCCGCAGCATGATGTACAAGTACACCCCCTGGACATGATGCTAGTATGTCGCAGGGACTTAACCCAATCCAACCCTTGATACTGAGTGCCAAGCAGGGAGATATCGGGTACCATTTTTAACAGTCATTGGTATGACTCGGTCGGCGATCAAACTCACAACCTCCCAATCTCAGGGCGGACACTAACCACAAGGCCACTGAGCTGCTATTCATTATTTATATTGAACATGAATTTGGGAATTTTCCACAAAAAAAAAACATTTAAGATGAGAAATACATACCATTCCTTGCTTTCTCTAATGGCATAGCGTGGTAGGGGCTGGAGTTATATGTTGGCAATCCTAGAAAAAGAGAGAAATAACTAAATAAGGCAAATGAGCACTATCAAAGTTGTTATCCATGAGCACCATATAGCAATTGCACCTAGCTAGCCCCATATAGTTACTTTCCAACTTTAGATAAAGGAGACCTGAGGGATGAACACACTTGGCTACAGAGTGAGTAATTAAAGAATAGTTTCCCACCTAAGGTGCTGATAATTCCTGTGATCCAAAGATAAAAGACATAATAGCCTATTAGTCTACTTCATAACGAGGGGTGCACTCAAGTGGCTGCCGATGACAATTTATTCAGGATACAGAAAATATGACCAACGTTTCGGAGAGACTGAAACATTGGGTCATATTTCCGGTGTCCTGAATAAATTGTCATCGGCAGCCACATGAATGTGCCTGACTTTTACACCATTAGTTTTCTTACCATCATTACAGTGGTCCATTGACTGGTCCAACTCCGCCAAATAGCTTCCACAAAAGCCTACAATGAGAGAACACACAACATGAACTATGAATGCTGTAACTCGGACAAAGCACATTTACATACTGTCCGCCCGGAGGTAGTAGTGTGAAGTAGGGGTCGACCGATTATCCAGACCGATATTCCGCATTTTACAGATTATCGCTATCGGCCTTTTTTTTTTTTTTTTTTAAATCAAATTGCCGATAAAACTTTGGATCTGATGCGGCCGTTTCTCTGGTTGCAGTCACCACTCTGTACACAAGCAATGTCCCGATCCAATTCTATCAGTTTCCCAGTTACACAGGGTAGCGTCTCGCAGCGGATAAACTGTGAGGGGGGGGATTGCTAGTGGAGCCTCGCAGCAACTCTGCTTTCTGCACCACAATCTGGTGCTGCTGAATTGGGACTACTAAATGAGTGAGACTCAAATATCAGAAGTTCAGAACAAGTTTTAGTAGTTTTCATTTTATTTCTATTTCATTGACTTTACTCAGGGTACAGAGAGGAAACCAGTTTTAAGATGTTGAAAAGTTCAGCAAACATAAAAAGGCATTTCAAAGAAGTTGTGTTGGAGTTTGTGTTATTCTACATTTTGAGACCAAGATTTTCTGATATTACTGCAAATGTATATCGGTTCCAAATATCGGTTATCGGTCTCGTTGATTACTAATAATCGGTATCGGCCTTGAAAAAGCCATATCAGTCGATCCCTAGTGTGAAGTGGTTCACTTACCATTGTCAGCCTGGTGAATTGACAGAACATCCTCCGAGTGGCTTCCTCCAGAGGCTAAAAGGGAACAAAAGACAGGAATAATGGATGCTGTAACTTTTGAACACATATCACATGACTGATGTTTGAATGTATTGTTGGAGGAACTAAATGATTGTAAATTAAAGCTCACATGCAATTACATATTGTTCCTGCCATTTTAATAAGTAATGACATACCACTGCTTGCATTTGGGGTTGGTCCTGAGGGGTACTGGCTGGATTCTGGGAGCACTGTAGGACAATGAACATCAGGTGGCTTGGCAAATCTTCTCTTCACACAGCTGGTTTCTGACTCCCCATCTGACTCCATGTACACAGGATTTGGTCTGGAAAATAAAAATGAAACATTCAACATTCCCATTAATTGAACTAATTTGCCCCATGGCCCATTTCTGTAGAATGAGGCCGCTTGACGTACAGGTACACAGAGATGACACTAGTCTATCACAGGACTGGAGGTGGGGTTTTTACTTATTGTTTACACAGAAACCAAGGATTATATATTTCAAGAGGGAGCGATCAAAGTAAACATCCTAAGCCTGCTTCCTCCACACTGGGAGTGCTGTGACCACTTTTCCATTGCATCTTATGAGCGGTTGGGTTCTTTTGGTTCCTGCCTATGCACGCATACTGGTTCTTATCAATGCGACGTTGTTTGATAAGGGTTAAAGTCAGGCCAGACATGGAACCTGACCTCCTACAGGAATTCAACTGTACCTTACTCTTCTTTTCCCACGTGCACCTGCTTCGTCCTCAGAGCTCAGATCAGTGGTTGGACATCCAGTATTCACATACTTTTCTTCGTATTGTTTGGCCTTTTCCAATGAGTCTGTAAAAGAAAAAGCATAAAATAATAGGATGACATTTTACTGACTAGTCTCACTTGTGACACATATGTCATATGTGGTATGGCACCACACACATTCAAACTGCCATCCATAAAACGTGTGGATACCTATATACTTGAAAATAGACAATAGTAATGCAGTGACTACTTACCACAAGTAATCAAGAGCCGGACATTCGCATATGTGGTCCATCCTTTATGGGCCGTCATGTGTTCTTTAAGGGCCTTCAAATACATGTTTTTTGGGGGCCATAACAATTTACCTTCCTTTAGACTGAACCAGCTGGCAAGAACTGTTGCAGCTCCGCCATTTGGAAAAAGTACAACGGCCCAAAGCACCACCTCCCTTTCCATTCTGTATACAATAAAGGAAATAATGTAAATGATTAAAAAAAAAACCTGCTCATAAATCATAAGATGTCATTTACTCGCCCAGCAGTATGAGCGGTATGCTACTGCATATGAGCTATTGGAATAGCTATGAGGCCATTTCCTTCTGACTCTGGATACAGAACACATTTACGTTTGATACATCCAAGTTTACCAACCCCGATATTGTCACACAACTCTCTAACCTTGTATGTACCTATGCATGAGGACTCGCAGGGATAAGTATAATATGATTCTTGGTGTCTGAACCTTTTGTAGATCACATATACCTCATCTTCTTCCTGGACTATATTCTGCACTACTGCAATACTATGTCCCACCTCAATACAATTATCCCCCTGCTTTGTAGACAAGGTAAAACGACTACTGGAGACCTTTGTGTACTGTACAGCAACACCGAAATGTTGAGGGAGTGGACCATCAGTGTGGATTTTCTGTAAGACTGGTTCATCTGTTGGTAATGGAACCTCACAACGTGGCTGTTCTGACAACCTTTTGACCACCTGTTGTAGAGGTTGGTGTGGCTTGCGTAAAAGATGCTTTATTTGGCCAAGATAATTCTCAAAAGGGAATCCTGAAACATTATCTAAAGGTCCAAATTGTTTGTATTCATCGGCTAAATGTATAAGCTGGTGTACACTGAACACAATCTGATCCCTGCCATACAACTGTCCAAAGTGTTCCACAAAGGAAATCATCAATCTATGCGCTAATTCAACCTTTTGGCCAGAAATTCCAGGAGACAAAAACAAATACATGGCCACTGAAAACAACATAAAGTTGTCATAAATCTCACTGGGAAGGCAATCCTTCAGAACTACAGGGCCCCAGTACAGTATGAAGGATCGGAGCTCTGTAGCTTTCCAACGATCCAGCTCATTCAAACCCCTTGGCTTGCGATTGAATTCACAAGGGGTGTGGGAATGTAACCCCAGCAGTTTGCTTGATATACTGTTAACAGTTTGTGAAGGAAGCCTAGTGGCTAGATTGCCCTTTAACCACATATTCAACAGTTTTCTCATCACACCAAGACAACAGAGGTGCATATAATCTATTGGGAATGAAGAAACCATCTTTACTGTCCCTGTTAAAGGACTGAGTGTCTGTTTCAAGTGATGTTCTTCATCAATCATATCACAATAACTTGAGTCTGTCCTGAGCCTGACATTTGTTTCAGGATAAGTCATTTTCTTCCTCCACACACCATGTTGATCACACTTGTCACACCCTGAATAGCCATTATGTGACTTGATATTCTTAACGTAGGCTCTGGCTGGAGCATCACACACAAATGAGGAAACCAGTACTTTCAATCGGTTACCATTATGAACAACGCCATTAGCCAGTACATTTTTAAGGTCGCTAATAAATTGCTGCAGATACTCAACAACACACTTGGGCTTGCTTAAAGCACAAAAGATACCGACAATAAATGGGGACTTAGTATAATCACATTTCAGAATTGCAAGTATAGGCCAGAATTGAAGTCTTGAACTCTTAAAGAGAGGGAGACCATCTATGTTGAACTGTAAAGTAAGAGTTCTGAGGCTCACTGGTAAACTCAAACATTTCAATCGTGAAAGTATCCCTTGCACCAATCCAAAATGGTAGTACTCGCCACCTTGCATTTGAGTGGTTGCAACATCATGTTGTGTTCTAAGCAGAGTTCTTCCATCCTTAGGGAGCATAGGGTGAAAAAGCTTTAAGATGGACAGCAGAGCAGACAAAGCAACCAGATTGATTGAGTAGGATGTTGCCCAATATCTTAGGCTCCTCATAAGCAGATCCTGACTAAGCTGATGCTCGTCATGGCTGTCGGAGTCAGAATCTGATTCAACATTCCCAGCCACACTACCATCAGTATGATCATTTCCCATTTGTACATGATCTGATTCAACTTCATCATCTCCAGCTAAACTACCATCAGTATGATCATTTTCCATGTGTACATGGGAAGCTAGTGGTGTATCTAGTTGGGAAACGTGTGAGATTCTGAAGGGTGGTTCCCTATTCACACAGGGGTCTAAATGTGACTTGTTATTATAAAGAGTTTCCTCGTATTCCTTAAGGATATCTTTCTCCATGTCCCTTACAGTTCTGATGACTCTACGTCTTTTAGACCAATAAGAAGCCATCTTAGGTAAAGAGAGGTGGCACTGCTATAATTACTTTACTTGGCCTTGTGTATTGCAGTGATCCCCTTGACTCGTCTTGTAGTATAATCCTGAAAATGGAGGAAAACAAAGCAGATTAAAAATTAGTATGCATAAACTAACAGTACAAATATATATCAGCCTCCTGGTGCAATGCAAATATAACTGTACTGACGAAATTCCCTAGAATTACACGTTTTATTCCATGGGTCTTCAACCAGGAGTCCAGGACCCCTAGGACATACATTTTACCCAAATATCCTATATGATGCTTTAGCTTGACTGTATCAGACCAACTTTGATGTAATTTCTGTAGGATGTAGGGATGCCAGAAACTGACCATGATCAAAATCGGCGGGGTCGGTGTGTAGCAAGCTGCAGCAGCAGTCTGCGCAGGGCAGCCTGTGCTGCTGGCTTCCTCCAAGTTTTACAGTCAAAACTGGTGTTGTGACCAATGGCCATTTACAATTATTAATACTATTACTATTATTAGTCTATATTTTGGTTGAAACTAAGCCAGAAAAAAAACAAAAAAACATAAATAATAAAAAAATATATAAATAAAATCGAATTTTAAAAATAATCTTCGATTATGGAGACTGTAACGAATAATAGATTAATCGTTGGCATCCCTAGTAGGATGGTAGTTTAATGTCAGATTGTGTTAGCTAGTGTATCTGCTGCGTTAGCTAGGTGCTAGCCAGGGCAAGAAAATATCAACTGCGTCATGCGATGAACTGTTTAATTAATTTATGATATAGGCTATATTATAACAAAAAATATGCACAATTTCACCCAAATATCCTAAATAATGCTTTAGCTTGACTGCATCAGTGGACACTTTATGTAATTTCTGTAGGATGGTAGAGTTTAATGTCAGATTATGTTAGCTAGCGCTGCGTTAGCTAGGTGCTAGTCAGGGCAATAAAATATCAACTGCGTCATGGGATGAACGACGTTAAATTCGTTGATGATATATATTATTATAAGTAATTAGTTCCCACTTTTGCGCTCTGAATAGCCTAAAAAAACATAACAGGGTGTAACTGAGGTGAACATATAGAGTAGGCATGCACAACGGTCACGTTACATTTCTTACCGATTTGTGATATCTGTCTCTTCTCTTCAGGCGGCTTGGCGGCAACTGAACTGCCTGCCTTCCTCCACACCCTGAGGTGTACGCTCTTTCACGTGACCAACGTGCTTTCAAGATTAAGTGCAATGTGCAACAGGCATGACGGGTAATCTGTGACGTTTCGCTCTCTCAAAACTTGGGCCATTTTGTCTTCATGCACAGCAGCTCTCATAGGAAAGAACCAGACCCCGCCTCCGACGCTGGATCATGATCTCGCCCGAGAGGGGATAGCGCCACACGTTGAAACAATGTCAATTCAATGTAGGGAATTTCAACGTTGAAAAACCGGCATCTATATTACATTGATTCAACAACATTTTTTCAAACGTTGAAATGGTATTTGTAAAAACACATCGAATCAACATTGATTTTTCAACCTCAACCAAAAATAACCAATCTAACCAAAATCCAATGTTGAATTAATATCTTTTGCTATCTGGGTTGTGAGATACTAAGATTTTAAAAAACAGTCAGAGATGTTTCTGTTACTTTGTGTTTTTTCCAACACATCCTCACTCCCAGGTCGGCCTATGTTGACGTTATGTCAAGTTCCCTGTCGGCTTTTTCCAACGCAAGGGGGGGGGGCCTTAGCGTCCATTTTCAACGCAAGGGGGGGGCCCTTAGCGTCCATTTTCAGCTTTCCGGGATGTCCATATGCTTCTATAGACGCTCATGGAAGCACGGCATTCGTTTGTGTCGGCTGCCCTTAAAGGCAATGTGAGCGTCCATTCTCATTGGATAACGGAGAATTGTACACCCGGAAGTAAGTATTCCCCTTACTGTCGATTGATTTTACAGTGATATCTGCACTACTCATCGACTAAAAAACACCAGATTATCCTTGTTAATTACACAACATTGATTGGTTTAAATTGTGTGCAATGCTTTTGTATTTTTCCCCTTCGATTCGGAGAAACAAATATGTTTTCGGAGTAAAGGATGGCAGAAGACACTACACTACCCAGAATCCCCAGCTATCGTTTGGACTACACCATGTGCTCTGTTTGACAAACCCCGTGATAGTCCTCAACATGGGCGTCGCCTGGGGTAGGCATCCGGGGCTAAAGCCCCGGATGTTTTTTCTTTAGCCCCGGACAAATTCTCCCTCAATAATATAATACATTAACCGTACTTTACCTAGAGGATGGCAGAATTGTAATTTCCCGTGTTCAGTGAATGCAACAGAGGCAACCACCAGACTAATCCGAGAGTTGCATGGAAATAAACGTGTTTTATTGGCTGACCTCTCCTCTGTGACAGTGTTTACACTTTAAACTTTCAGCCGCGGGCGCGGAGTTTCTGAAGATGGACATTAGACATTTTTTAAATAAAAAATACGGCAATTCTCAAGTGGTGGCTCACACAACAACCCCAGAGCCACCACCTGAGCCAGGTGAACAAGGTATGTAAATGTCAGTAAACTTACAAGTTATGTCAACATGTAAGCAAAGCATACATTATAGCTACGTTGACGTTACTTTGAATCGCGGGGGTAAGCTAAACCGTTAGCAAGTAGCTATAGCTAGCCAGATATATTAAATAAACACTTTGTCATAAAATCTAAATGTTGTGTTTTTTAGCGTTACCTGGTGATTTCAAAGAAAGCTCTCTGGGAAATGTTGACTTACTGTCAGTGTTCGACATGAAGCTAGAAGCTACCTTACATTACACAGTTGATCCGGAGTCCTGTCAG